TTTTTAGGACTCCAACTTTGATATGGTTTGAGTAAAGACAAGGGCAAACCAAAACTGAAAGATCAACTTTAAGAAATTTTGATGTCGGCTTGTTATCTACATAACTAATATAACCTCAATTAAGAAAGTAAAAAAGAAAAAGAAATTGGGGCCCTCCTTGAGGCAGGGCCCAGCGCGATCACCCTTCAAGCCCAATCTTAGGGCCGACACTGACTTAAATTTAGGTGCAAGGGAGTAGGCTCATTGACCTGACCAACTGGTCTAACCCATGTTTGCTTACCAACATTATCCTTATTAAAAAAAAAAGAAAACCAAATATAATAAGGGTTAATACGTAATTAGCATTTTAATAAAATAAAAATAACAAATATTGCCACACAATTTTCACCACTAAGCCTTTCTGTGTGACAACTATGAAATTGGTATTTAGGTGAATAAGAGATAAACTAAGAGAGAATACAATGAAATGAACTAAGCTATAATATGACTAGTAGTCATAGACTCAAGAACACAACCACAACAATAATGTAACATCTAGGAATAAGAAAACTTGATTTTATGGAATTTTAGTATGAAGTATATATTGACTTAATGAACCATCATTTTTAGACCAAATCATATTTTGCACTAAAACCGATTTTTCATATTTTGATTTGGTGGGAATTTGATTTTCTAATATTTTTATTTGAATCCAAATGGGGGGTACTTCCTTATTCACATTGTAAACTTAAGTAAATGGAGTAATATAAAAATAAATGAAAGTAAAAGGACAATTTGAAGCACCTACAATGGTTTTTCCGGCAAAGGCTGCCACGTGTAATGGTTTTTCCTTATTCCTTGCGCCTTAATAGGTCCGTCACTATAACCAATCATTGTGTGTTTTGAGACATGAAGTGACCAATCAAAGGCTGCCACGTGTAATGTAGTTGGTGGCAATTAATGTTCGCCCTTGGCAAATCTGACCTGACCTAGACACCCACTATAAATTGGTTATGATGGTAGAGGTGGCCGTCATGCAACCTCACAGAGAGCATCGTTCTTTCCAAAGCTGGTATTAGGTTGGGGTTCTCGTGTAGTTGGCCTTGTTCTGAAGAGAAATGAAGGCAAAAAAAAGCATCCTTCATTTCTCAAACAGAAAGAGACTCAAACACAAACATGTTTACGGTTTAGGTTATGAATCAGAAACTTTACATCGAATCGATGATTTACCAGACAATGTATTATTAGGCTGTGAGCGAGGAAAAGCCTTCTCTAGTTTTGTGACAATGGGATTGATCTGGTAAGATTCCATAATCATGTATGTTTATCTGTCTTACATGCCTATCTGATGAGCAAATTATTCTACACTATTGGATGTTTGGACTGAGGTCTGATTGTGGATATGACTTTTGTGTGCAGGTTTTGCAACCCAATGACGAGTGCAACAATGGAGATCAAAGGCTGGATCTTTCTCTTAACAGCTATTTGGCTCCAGAAAGATGTGACAGGAAATCTATTCCTCAATCTGAAGATGGATTTCCTTCCTTGTGGAAAGATGGCACTTGCGACCTAGATGAGTTTAATAAGGAAAAATGTGGAAGCATCTAAACCTTCTTGCATTTTCTCGGCAAAAACTACATGGTGAAAGGCTGCTCTTCATGGTTTGGAAATCACCAGTATGTAGTTGGGCCGCCTAAAAGATGATGTGTTGGTGTACTTTATAATTTTAGATTTATCAGATTGATCGAATCTTAAAAATACCCGCAAGTGCACGAATCTATCGAAGTATAGATTGTATAAGTACGGGGTCGATCCCACGAAGAACTTGTCGGTTGTCTATAAGTTCTAATTCGAGTACAAAAAGAACATTTAACTAACACACCACAATGCACAAATGAAAATTTTAAACTAAGAAGAAATATAAAAGAAACAAACAAAACAAAACAAAAAAAGAATTGTGCTGTGAACAGTGACCAGAGACCGGTCGTTTGTTAAGAGACCTTATTACAACTCACAATTTCCCTCATAGATATTATATATTAATCTACAAAGAAGTTTATCTAAAAGATTACAATCTTTCTCCAAAAAAAAAGGATTACAATCTAATTTCTTATATTTTTATATACTCCAACAAAGCATACTTGCAATAACCACAAAGTCCTTGTTTGAGACTATTTTTCTAGGAAGCACTTCTGCTAATAAGCGCTTTTAGTAATCGCGCTTTTATTATGAAGATGTTGAAATTTTCTTAAGAAATCGAAGTGCTTCTTGGAAAAGCACTTTGGAGTGCTTGGCAGGTGCTTCTCCAGAAAGTGCTTCTATGGACCATAAACACTTCTAAACTTTTTTGCCAAATATTATCAAAAGCACTTTTGATTGCAAAAAAGTGCTTTTAACCCTTCCAGAAGGACTCCCAAACGGTCCTTTGTAATTTATTCAAGGGCTATATATAGTTATTATTATTTTTTTCGATCTGAAGGCATTCGTCTCAACACTATACAATAAATAGGCATCTAGAGAGGGCTATAGTCCTTATCGTCCTTCACAAAAATCCTAGCTAGGTCCTATGCTTATTTACTAAATTTATGTTTCTCGTAAAAAATAAAAAAAGAGGACGAAGTTAATGGCTAGCTTATGGGCTATGGAGACTTTGGAAGTGCCGTAACTCTGTGGTATTCCAAGGCACCTTCGTAACCCCCCGGGAGGCCGCAGATCTATTGGCTATACAGGTGGGGGAGCTTCGGGCTGCTGGTTTGCCTAAGTCCTTTTTGATCAATGATCTTCCTAGACCCCCTGAGCAGACCCAACGAGTCCAGCACAAATGGGAAAAACCCAGGCATGGTGTTGTGAAAGTGAATTGTGATGGGGCCTGGGTTGCTCAGACAATGGTGGGAGGCTATGGGTGGGTAATAAGAGACTTTGTGGGTTGGATGTTGAAAGCAGGAGGAAAAGGAGATATGCGATATGGGTCTGCTCTTATAGCGGAAGTGGATGCCATTCGTGCAGCTATGGTGGCTTGCCAGCAAGGAGGTTTTTCTCACATCATAGTGGAATCTGATTCTCTTACTGCCATTCAAATGGTAAAAGGGGATCGAGTGGTGGATGCGGATGTGGAAGGTTTGCTTTTCGATATCCATGCTGTGACAAGAGAACTCCAGGAGGTGACTTTTACTTATGCTCCTCGCAGTTGTAATACGGCTGCTCATGAGGTTGCGGCTTATGTCTGTAGGAATGGAGGTGTTTATTGGTGGGACTTTATTCCCCCTGAATGGTTGTTTAACATTCTGGCTTGTGAGGCCAATGTAAGTGTTTGACTTTAATTTTTTAATAAAACTTTTGTTTCGGAAAAAAAAAAAAAATTAGTTGAAGTATTGTCATAAATATTTTTCATATAAAAAAGGAAATGAAATTTGTATATAGAAGTTAAGCAAAATTGCAAATTGTAAATAAAACACATCCTTGTGATAGAGCGCGCTGGCTGTACAAGAGGGGAAATGAACTAGAAGATATGTTTCTCGTAAATAAATAAATAAAATTAAGATGAATTTAATAATTAAATTATTGTCATAAATATGATTGCAACTTTTGAAATAAAATACATTCTCAAGCTAGAGCGCGGTGACGTGCAAGAAGGGTAATGAATGAGTATGTATAGCATGTTCTGTGAAAATGATACATGTAATCTATACTTGCGTGAAACGAAAAGTGATATGTACTTACTTGCCATCCTTTCAAACTATCGTACAAATTATTGTAATTATTGTCGTCAACTTTATTAACTATCAAAACAAGGAATCTTATTCTTTTACTGTGAATCTATATCGTGGAACCTTCTCATTTTCTTATTTACTTTCCTTTAACTTTCCGGAGGTTGTTTCAAAATATAGATCTAGTTTATACGAGTAGGTAGATCCATCCATGGCTAGCCTCAAATTTGTATTTGGATTTTGCTACAATTAGTTTGCATCTTGTATATAGGCCAGGTATGACAATACCATCCCCGTCCCCGCAATCCATCCCCTCCCCCGTCTCCGAATTCATCCCCGTTTAATAGGTTTCGGGGAATCCCCGTCCCCGTCCTCGTCGGAGGACTATCCCTCATACCTGCCTTGAATCCCCGATTTTTTTTGCATAAAAATATTTATCATACATTTTAACATTAAGTTTCATATTAAATTATCATTCAACACATCCAAATTAACTATAAAGTTTAACTCAACTATTCAAAACCACATCAATATGAAATTTCAGAGAAGAGTAGGAAGAATTAGGAGAGGAAGATTAACTTAGGGTTAAACATAAATATTATAATTATATATATATTTATTTAAATATAAACATATATATTGTCGGGGACCCGCCCCCCGTGGGGATTTTTGCCATCCCTACTTGCCCATTATTAATTGCAAACTGAAACATATTTATTCCTAAACCCATTTATTCCTCTTTCTTTTTCTTTTCACAAAAGAAATTTAACAACTTTTTTTCTCTTTTAATACTAATAAATTTTGGCAAAACACCCATTAGTGTAGTGGTTTGGAGCAATTGCTTTTTCAGAAAAAGTCATGTGTTTGAGTCCTAGTATCCGTGTAGTGTGTGTGAGTTTAGTATATTATTGCCTCTCTCTACCAAGAAAATAGTAATCAATTTTGGATAAGACATATGCACTTGTATGAGATGTAAAATTAATTTCAGTTATTGTAATTCCAACTATATGTATGAATTATATGACTTCAAAGCCTTTGGCTAATAAAAACTTAAGTTGGGTTTATAATTCGGACTAGTCTACTTTACTATGCTAGACTAATAATTAACTATTGCTTGTATTAAAAGAAAATATTGGACTCATCAATTTAACTAATTATTGATCTAGTTGTACTTCTATTTCTCTTCAAGTATCCCGAGAGAGCAGATTAGACTGCCTCCATGGGCTCATGAAGGAGGTGGCTCTCTGTCAGGCCCGCCAAATAGCGGGCTACAGGCCTTAATATTATTCAACACAGTTTGCAACTTCCAAGGTACGAAACCCTTCAAATTTCCAAACCAAAACTCCAAGTTACCGCACTTCCAAACTGTAGAGATGGACCGCAAAGATAATCAATATCCTCAAGGTTTTCAAAGACCTCTTTACTTCTGGATTGTTTTCGTTTTCATTTTTTGGTTATTAGATGAGTATAATTCAAATTGAAAATGGTGCAGGTGAGACAGTTCGGATTCTGGTTGAATTCCCGGAGGTGGCAATCACTTCAATCGTTTTCCTCAAAGGAATTTACCCTCCAGGTTTGTTCTAAACCCACTTCTCGTTTTGGTTGCTGAGAAAAAAAGTTGTGGTTTTGAGTTCTGTTTTTCTTCAGTATCTGGGGAACCCAGAAAGCAAAACCCAGTTTTCAAATTGCATATGAGCTTAGCGGGATAATGGGTAATTGTTGTTTTTGCATGTTCAACTGCTTTCACTGATGGTTGATTTTGGGCAAAGGTGATTTTGAAATAAGGAAATATGTGAATTTGGTGGTTCATAGCGCTCGTCACCCTGAACTCAGAGATTATATCCATTCTGCTGTCTCGGGACTTCATCCTTTCATCCAAAAGGTTGATCCTTTACTCGTTTCTTTCCTTTTACTTTTTTCTTTCTTGTTTCTTCAAAAATTTCTCATATATCTCATGTGTTCGAAAATTCGGCCTAGGCGGGTCTGGGAGGCTGGGCGGGTTGGATATTTTTTTTCTTTTTTTTTTTGTTGATTTTTTTAAGAAAGGTGCAGTCTTTCTTATTCGTTTAATGTCTTTATTCCGGTGATGTACCATTTTCACTAAAACAGACGCTACATTTTACAAACTAGGGTCTGGTGGAGAGAGTAGTAGTTATTTTCTTTAACAGTGATAGCATCCTTGTGGAAAGATTTATGTTTAAGCTCACTGTGAATCAGTCTTATGGCTTAAGGGTGGAAGAAGCTGACCTGGAGTTCTCACTAAGGTCGCTTTTTATCGAGCTTCCTTTCGCAGAATCCCTCACACGGGTTCTTCCCCAGGGTAAGTTTTCAGTTTCATTGTTGACAACTTGACATTGATGTTCATTTTTTTGCTTCAGTGTTGTTGGAAATCTGCCTGACCTGGCGGCCGTCATATGCAAAACCTCGAAGAGATGATCTTTCTTCAAAAGCTAGCTCATTGGCCTTATTCTGCAGAGAAATGAAGGATAATTATAGCATCCTTCGGTTTTGAAATAGGAAGAGACCAATGGCGGACCCAATCATTTTTATAGGGTTAGGCTAATTTTTAGTATTATTTTTATTTTTACAGGAGATATATTATAAGCTCTTTTTTTTTCTCTCGAAACAAAAATGTAAATAAAATTTTATAAATCAAACAAGGCCACATTACGAGCAAACATAACACAAAGAAGTACAAAATATAAATGAATACCAAATCAAACATATTGTTCAACTACTTGAGATCCGAGTTGAGTAAGTTCCTTAGGAATTGAAGTATCAACATTATATGCAGAAGGTGTATCCTTGGTATCGTTACCTAAATGAGATTGTTAGGTTTTCAATACACATAAAGTATTGTTCCGTACAATTTTTTTAATTTTAAAGTATTGTTATATATATGTCTTTTATAGAAGGAAAAAAAAATCGCTATGTAAAAGTTAAGCAAAACTGCATACGGGAAATTGAAGTCTAGAAAATAAACACATTCCCGTGCTAGAGCACGTTGGAGTGCAAGAGGGGTAATGAAAAAGTACGTATATATATAGTGTGTTCTATAAAAGTGATGCTGCATGCACTTTGTCCATACGTGTATGTGAAATGAGATATTTACTAACTGTCTTTTATGTTGTAATTGTAGTGACAAACTTTATTAAATATCGAAACGATGTCTTTTTTCTCCATTTTAGGACTATATTTCAACTTCCATCCTTTTTTTAATCACTAATTCAATTTGAAACACCGCTTTTCTTAACCATACTTTTTTTTATTTTTTATAAATTTCTTCATATATACATCCAATTTGCTGCCTCGCACTAGCAATGTGTTCCTTAGCTACCTAAACACACACACATATATAGAAGCATAATTATTTCTTTCTATATCATCATTTTCCTAATCAGCCAGTATGACATGGCTGGACCAATCATTGTGTGTTTGAGACATTAAGTGCCCAATCAAAGGCTGCCATATGTAACGTGGTTGTTGGAAATGTTCAGACGTGGGCAATCTGCCTGACCTAGACACCCACTATAAATTGGTTGTGATGCAAGAGGTGGCCGTCATATGCAAAACCCTATCGTCCTTCAGAAAGGTTAGCTTGATTATTTCGCTGCCGTTCTCTTGTTTGGTCTTGTGATCTGCAGA